CATTTTACTTCTGGTAAATTGAAAATATAGAGCTGTTTTTTATTCTTCAATCAGATAGTAACTTTAAAGAACAGGATGAGAGGAGGCTCTTAAATTTTATAGACAACCCAGCAATTTGGAGTTTTTTCTTCTTACCCTCACAAAATCCCTGAAATAGCTCTGTGTAAACATTGATCAAGATGTCTATCAATTTGATTAGCATGCTTTGTTCATTGCACAAAGCCAAGGAACAGAGCCATTTACAGGCTGTTCTTCCCTACTGGGAGACTGAAACAAGGAGCACGTTTTGCAGGTATGAATGCAAATGGTTGATTGCCAAAGCTTGCCATTAGATGCCTCCTGCTGGACTAGGTTGAGGACAGATCCTCCTGGAGAAAATCGATCAATGTTATGGCTAAGAGTTGACATTAACTTGCAGGTACATAATCATCAATCAAAATAGCTCGAGAAGCAAATGTTTATATGTCCTTTGCTTAACTAATTGTGAGGATTGTTGCCTCTTAAATGAACGTTCTCATCTTTTTTCTTATTCTGCTTGACAGCAGCTCTAAAATTCTACCTAAACGTGGGGATTTGAGGACTTCTGTATGCAAAGCATGCTTTTATATTGATCTATCATCATATCTCTTTGCAGAGAACTAACTTAACAGCTTGCCTGTAGCCAGGTTTTTCTGGGAGCATGGTGGAATAGTTATTGCTGTCCAAAGTGAATCTAAAAATCAATCAACTGCTGAGGTCATTAGGCATCAGTTTTATCATTGTCTTTTCTGAATTGCCAGCATTTATCCTATGCCTCTTGGAAAAATTCAACTTAAGTGTACAGTGGTTTTTTAAGTTATAATCTGAAAATTGGGTAGTATAGGATAGAAAAAAACAGCAGCAGGGGAGGGGAGGTACAGTTACCGAATGTTTAAGATGCTGGGCTTGTCGACTGAAATGTTGATATTTCAAGACCTAAGGATCGCGGGATGGGGTAAGCTCCCCATACTAACCTAGCAGTTCATAAACATTAAATGCAAGTAGATAAATAGGTGCCACTTCATTAAGGTAACAGCATTCCATGCACCTTACCCTATGGTCATGCTGGCCACATGACCAATGTGCAATTGTCTTCGTATAATGCTAACTACCTCAGCTGGAAAATGGAGATGACACTGCCTCCAAGAGTTGGACATGACTGGACAGGAAACCTTTATCTTTAGACTAAAAAAGGTAATTTGATTTCATTTAATGTAGCCATAGCACTTATATACTGCTTCACAGTGCTTTACAGTCCCCTCTAAGTGGTTTACAGAGTCAGCCTATTGCCCCAGGAAGGATGGAAGGCCGAGTCAACCTTGAGCCTGGTGAGCATCGAATTCAGAACTGCATGCAGCCGGAAGTTAGCAGAAGTAGCCTGTAGTACTGCATTCTAACCACTGCACCGCCATGGCTTTTGAATGAAAATCTAATTGTAAATGAAAACCTAATTACAACTGAGTCAAATTAATTAATTCAGTTAATAGAGTGAAGTCCTATGAGTGGTGGCATCAGGAACAGGTCTGGTAAAGCTTGGATAAGAGATTATCAAGGAATCTGTGGGCTGTAGGTAGATTGAGAGGGGGGAAAATACAGTGGTAGAAGGCAACAGCAAAACTCTTCCATAAGACTGCCAAGAAACCTATACAAACATATCCATGTAATCACCATGAGTTGAACTTGAGAGCCTCTGTCTTGTAATGTGATGATGCCTGAGCTATTTTATAATTTTTCTCATCTCACGTTACAGCTGAGCTGCAGATGGAGAGTGCCGGGGGGCGCCCTTAAGTGAAAATATAGGTATCCAACATATGGTTTTTACCTAGTGCTTGTCTATTGAACAGAGTAGCAAGGCTGATTGCTCCAAGCTCTTCCATTTATCTGCAATTTCTTGGCTGTGACAAGAGAACTGCAATCTCTACTCCTGGGGCTGCCTCTCCCAGAAAGACATATGAAGCTGCCGCATACTGAACCTCCAAGTTATATATTATCTTTTCATCCAGAACTTCTCTCTGCTACTTAGATATATTTATTTTTTTAATCCAGCATCTCTGTGCTTCAGTTTGAGATTTTTTTTGCCTAGTATGCTACAATAATATTATATAATTTTTTTAGGAACTTATGTTTTAATCATCTGGAACCGGTTTTTGCAAACAACATTAGGAGCTTGTTTTTCTCATCTACAATCTTAGGAACTTTTTTAGATTTTCTGCACCAAACTATGTAGTTAATACAGATTTGCGGCTGTATTGTTCACATGGATTGCATGAATGCATATTACTTTTATGGGTTGTTCAAACAGATTAATATGCTGAGATCCAGTGTGGGACATTGGATTTGTATCCAGTTTTCTTTTCTTCCCAGTAGTCACCTGATTGGTGGAAAAGGTGAGATTTTTGGTGAGATGGGTAGCTATGTGAATCTGATTACTGAATAAATACAGTCAGAATTTTGATTGTTAAACAAGGCAGTTATTAAATAAGTCGCACCCAATTTTATGACCTTTTTTGCTGTGGTTGTTAATTAAATCAGATAGTTGTTAAGCAAATGAGGCATCCCCCATTGACTTGGGCTTCAGAATGCAGCTGGGAAAATTGCAAACAGTGATCATGTGACTCCAAGATGTTTCAATAATTATAAACACATGCCAATTGCCAAGCACCTGAATTTTGATCATGTGACCATGTTCTTTAATGTGAGGATCAGTTTTTTTCAGTGCTGTTTTAACTTTGTAATTTTGAACAATCATTAAACAACTGGTTATAAGTCGAGGAATTCCTGCATACAGAAGCAACTGCTTTGATCTCAGAATGCATCGTTAAAATTCCCAGCTCCACATTGGCCTGGGCATAGTTTGAAAGGACTTGAAAAGAAACTAATTCGTTCTTTATTTTTGCTTTTAGAAATAATCCATCTTTAGGAGAAGCGAGTTCTGGTGGCAAGTGGCAATTTTGATCTTCCACCCCACCCTCACCCTGATGGTGCTATTCTGGAAGTTTTGTTTAATTTAATTTCAATATTTAATCGTATGGACCTTGGACCATTGGAAATGGATATTCCATATGAGTAGCTGACCTTGAACCTCACTGCCTTTCAGTCCCTAATGAAAAACAGTTTGTGTAAGGTCAAACAAGATCAGCATGATAGTGTTTCTGAACACTAAAAATATTGTAGAGATGCTAAATAAAGCCAGAGGGCTGCAAGAGATTCCATGGTATAAAAATAAATAAGCTGATTTATACATGGGAAAGGCACAGGAAATGGACCCATACCCAGTCTGCCACTGGACTATGCTGGCAGGCAGTAGCTCTGTGGGATTTCTGGTAGAAAAATTTTCAAGTTTGGAATTTGGAGGTGCCAAAGGTGAAATTTTAACCCACTTTTCATGCAAAGTTTCAGGCATGCATTAAGCTCATAGCTGCCTCTCTGTTCACTATAGTTATGCTGTCATGAAAAGGTCTACCTAAATGAACTATTTTCTTCTTTTTGAGGATTCCCAAAGTTTTGACATTTTTTTGATAGTGATTTTCTTTGATTTGGTAATGTATCCTTCCAGATATAGTGAAGCTACAGCTAAGAGTAGTCTTCAACAATCGTCACAAAGAATTGACATCCAGTAACATTTTGAGACTATGGGTTTTTTTTCACCCCTGATTTAATCTGAGGGAATAACATATGTTAGGGCTATGATACCTACATTGCAAAAATCTGGATGACCACTAGACAGCTATACAGAGATACTGAAAAATCACACACTGAAAAATCACACACTGAAAAATCACATTAGACCATCATCAACTAGACTTTTTCTCACATAGATGTGATAGCAAGATATATCTTCTCATTGTCCTCTGGTTATTTCGTCTTCAGATCCCATTGAACTCTATCATAATGACTAATGGTAAAGAATTATTTCAAGATATCTGTTAAGTACGGTAATGTATATTCCATCTTTAAATGATGGTGCATGAAATAAGTTTATACTGCACCAAATCACTGGCCCATCTAACATAGCATTAGCTCAACCAGTCCAAGTTTTCTTTCCAATCTTACATATGAGGCTTAAAGCAAGGAATGTCTCCATGAAAAAATGTACTCTATCATTACATCATGACTCCTCCAAAATAAATAGTTCTTAGCACTGAGATTTCTCACAATTTTTTTTTACTGTGCCCACAACATAGTAGTTTCCATCATGAAAATACCAACCAGGAAAAAAATAATACAATTGTTTAACTTGTATTGCAGCATTTTGAGTAGAGATCCATTTCTATTTCCAATGCACTAAGTATTACATACACAGCCAGAGGGCATTTTAAAAACAAGAATGGTAGACTCTGGTTCCCAATTTAGATTCTGGGCAGAAATCAGCATTTTAAATAATCAGTTAAGATGCTGGGCTTGTTGGCTGGACAGCTGGCAGCCTAGGTTTGAGACCTGAGGGCCACATGACTGGGTGAACTCCTATCCTCAGCTCCTGCCCATCTAGAAGTCCCAAAGCATGCAAATACATAAATAGGTACCATTTTGGTGGGAAGGTAACAATGCTCCATAATGTCACGCTGGCCACACAAATGTCTTTGGACAGCGCTGGCTCAATGTCCTTGAAATTGAAATGATTACCAGCCCCTATAATTGGCAGCAATTAGTGACTCTTTTTTTTTTTACTAAATGTTTGCAAATAGAGGTCAGGTACATAGGTTACAGCCATACCTACAGTCAACATTTTGCTCTGCTGTCTTATAAAGTCTAGAAGCATTTCCACCCCACTTGCTAACAAATTAGCACTGCAGGCAAGCAAGAAAGATGTATAAGTAGATTCTATACTAAATCTTTCCAGCATAGTATAGCATAGTAAATAGTAGCATCAGGTAATGACTTGAGTGGAAAAAAATGAAGCAAAAATAAAAAATAAAATAAAATGGAAAATCTAGGATCCAGAAGAAAGCAGCAGTTTTCTACTTAGAAATCTACTTTCTAAGTATTTTCTGCTTGGTTTGCAGGAGATCAGTATAAACAGAAGAACTGTGCAGAAAAAATAAATAATAAAAAAAAATAAATTAAAAAAAGGAATGTAATATTTCATGAGTAAGTATCCCATGTGAACATTACCACTCAGTCAATTCCAGTTTGTCCTGGGAAATTTTTACAATAGCTACTTCCTGAGAGACACTTAAAGACATGAACTTCCTTTTTAGTTGATACTTCTGGTGGACAGGATGTCTCCTTTTTTAAAAAAAATTGTACCATTTTGTCTCCTCTTGAGAGTTGGTGTATAACCTAGAGCAGAACTGGAGCATGAGGCTGTAGCAGAAAGGACAGCAAGCTAATTCCTATTACACTTGTGATTATTTTGGGTAAGTTATTTCGTGAAATCCTTTGACACTACAGCAATAGAAAATTGCTGAGAAATGAGAACATTCTTTGACTTCCCTGGATCTTGGATTAACATTAATCGATAATAAATTGATGTCACCACACACACAAAATAATGATTTAGCAATTCCAAATAATAGGACACAACAGCCTCAGTCTTGCATGTACACAGATAACACACATAGGACAATTCATCTATGCTTTATTTTTCCTTGAATAATCCTGGCAGTCTGAATAATTTCATTAAAAATAGTTTGGCTGGATTTAGATTAATTTGGATTGCATTTTGCAATCCTGTGTCATTTGTTATATTGTCCTAAAGTTCTAAGAATCCAGAAATATCCTAATCAAGGAGAGAACCAACCTAGAACAAGGAGAAACCACCTAACAATTGGAACAATTACTATATCTAGTGGAAATGCTTGCCTTTAGAAGTTGGAAGCTTTTAAGAAGAGACTGGACAGTCAGTTGTCTGGAAGGGTATTGGGTCTCTTGCTTGAGTAGGGGGTTGGACTAGAAGATCTCTCATGTTCTTCAAACTCTGTTATCCTGAACTATATATTATTGTTTTAGACTGCTGGTAAGAATTGCTGTGTTATTTTTTGTTTCTTCCCATCAAAACATGTTGCTCCCAAGTTAGTAATGGTTAAAATAAATCCCCCTTTTTATGTATGTATATGTCTAGGCTCATATAATTCCCTAAGCCATGTCTGGGTTTAAGCAACACCTTAAGTTGAAGCCTAAACATCCCACTGCATGGCTTAATGTAGTATCTGAATGTAGTCTGTTATTAAATTTGCCTAGATCCAATTCACTCTGTTTTAGTTACTAATGGTCCCATTACCTGTTCACTCATCACTTGATTTTCCAGGAGACAATGTGTGAAATATAAATACATGAGCCTGCCAAGAGTTTCCCATAAATTGAGGATTTCTCATGAGTGTTGAGGAATATTATACATAACTCTTTATGAATGAGGATAATTTTCCAATGCTGAAATGAGTAGAAGACAATGAGATTTTATTGTACTGGGGTCCATTCATAAACTGAAAACATTCAGAACTTTGCTTTGCCATAATTTCCTGGTTGGTTTAGAACTATAAACCAAATTCAAATAATCTGGATTAACGAGAAAGAAACATTCCTATACTCATGAAGAAAATATCTCATTGAAAATAAGTAACTGACAGATGAATGTTTTCATCCAATTTGTAGAGGATTGATTTATGGTTTGGTAATCTCAAGAAAAGCAATTTAATTTAGCTAAAGTCAATTGAAAGAAAGCTCTGTGCCCTAGCTATACTACAAATATTAAAAAATTTAATAGCAATCCTCTTTTCCCAAAGTTACTTTATTGAGTCTAAGAAATAGACTAGAAAAAGAAAAATTTGAACACTCAAAATGCATTATAATTCTCAGCATTCTTGATGGGAAGGCATAAATTAAATTGGCATTAAGTCAATACAACTTAGCAGTATAGCTAATCCTATTGGGGAAAGACAGTTACCTTCAAATATTAAAAAGTAAAAATTGGAGTCATGGCTTAGATATAAGCTCCCATTGCATCAATTGAGTCTTTATGGTACTCACAATTTCACAGGACCACAATCATTCCATTAATAAAAAGGTAAGGGTCAAGTTAAGAACCTTCATGTCATATCCCTCCCTCTCAAATTTCTCTATTAGCTTACACTGCAGCCTTGTCAAATTTATCTTCACAATGCAGAGTTATTCCACAATAAAAAAGCTGACAACTAAAAAAAAAAGCACTTGCAATGAAAGCTAGAACATATATTAATGGTTCTCTATTGTAGGATATATTACAAGAATGTTTTTACGCCGCTGATAATTACAAAAAGAAAGGCTAGATAATTTGAATTAAAATAACAGGATATAATGAAACCTTTAAAAGAATAAGAAATGAAATCTGGATAATTCAAAGGCATCCAGCCCCACAGGGCCCCCGTTCTACTTCCCATAGAATCCAATGGGATAGCATGGATGGAAGCCTTCTCATGGTTTCCATCTCTACAGAGGTTGACCTGATCTGAACTTCATTTGCTCTCCTGTTGTGACCCATTGAAGATGCAGAGCTTTTGTGTTCAACCCGCCAGCACAGAAAACCATGAAAACACACTGTAAACCTGTAGAACTCCCATCAAAATGATGGAAGGTTTTTAAACATCTTCTCCATTTTCACTGATGGAGACTGTATGTATTTTAATGGTGGGTATTTGCTGGTCCTTTGGGTTTTCTCCTGATGTGTTTGCACAGCAGCACTCTCTCAGAAAACCTTTACTCTTCACTTTGGCTGTAGAACAGCTGGACCTTTCTTTCGGAGCATTGCTCTTGGTTGACATGCTTTGCATGGCTGAAAAAAGTTTCCATTCACACACGCCATCTGATTTGGAAATCTTATAGAAGTGTTCTCCAGAGCCAACAGGTATACGGACAATATCTTTGGGAGCTTCAGCAACATGGTTGCTTGGGTGATTGAGGGTGAAGCTCAGGGAGTATTTGTTGGAGGAATACCTCTTGTGGAGACACTGGGCTCTTAGGACATTTTGGAATGCTTTTTTAAACTCTTGACTCGAACAAGGGTAAATGATGGGGTTGATGCAGCTGTTTAGATACCCAAGCCAAAAGGCAATTTTAAAAATGGTTTCAGAGGGCTTGCTGTCAGGAAAGAAAGAACCTGAAATGGAAACAAAAGCAAAACAGAATTTTAATGGATTTATAAAAAAGCAACTTCAGAGGATCAAGGGGTAAGAAATCAAAGGAAGGGAATACTTTTTTCAAAGTTTTTAATTATGAATCATCGTAATTGAGATAATCTCTGGGCAAGAAAATGTATGTGGAATCCTTAGTGCTCTCTGCGCTTGGTCGTTTGGTTGCAAACATTTCATTACCTGATTATGTAACCTCATCAGCGTGCAATGTGTCTTATTTAGTTGTGTACTGTACAGTGATGTTGTTATTTAGTTAGGTAATGAAACATCTGCCAGAAAATAACTAAGCTCAGAGACCACCAAGGACTCCATGGTTCAACCATGAGTTACAGATATTCTCTTCTATTGGAACTGAAAAACTATTTCAGAACATAATGTAAGAAAAAGTCCAGTTAAATGTTTTAAGTCCCTATTTATTTTGCTGGGAGAGGTTGAAATGCGAAAATCCATAGAATTCTGAAAGGCTGAAATTCAATCTGAATTTTATTCTGTTTTATTTTTATTTGTTTAGATGAGGTGCCAATTATTCATATAGTGGCCCAGGCATAAAAGCAAAATGCACATAGTCTTATTTAATGAGATTACCTAGGATCAGGGAACTAGGTATAGATAATCATTATGCCTTGGTTGCCCATAATTAAGCTTGATCCAAGTGAAGTAGAAACCATCCTCATTGCAAACTTTGGCTGCAGAGCCTGTCATGCCTCACTCATGCTCATTGTACACTACACGTACCAGTATTACAAAGCAAACATCATTCTACTTTAGTAGTCAAGGCATCCTTTAGAAGTCTTAGGCAACAATACTAAAAAGAGCTACCTGATAATAAGCCCTTGAATATATGGGAATCATTTATGAGCAAACCCACATGATATTGTGTTGTAGATACAACCCTTATTTCGGAGGATTATTTCCCTTTAAAATCCACCCAATATGCAGCCTTCCCTGTGCAATGAATCAACACATCTATCAGCAGAACAGCCAAGAGACTTGGAAGAAAAACATGAGTTCAAAAGAAGCTGAATTGGCTGGAGATAATTTTAGATCAAGTATATGGTACACGTCTTGCTTATCTTCTTCCTACCCGTCACAGGCAGGTTGTGCTTTTTCTGAGCTCCTGCCCAATTGCATGAATCATCTGCAATATCTGATCTGTGAAATGGGGATGGCGGTGATGGAAGATCACTTTGTAGGTGACCCATTGGGCTGCTGGTGCAAGGGAGAATATGAAGCAGTATGGCACTAATCAACCTGGCTAAGTTTGCTTATGTTGAGACACTGGTGTGAGGAGACACATGGCCACTAATTCCCAGGTCTTGTCCTGCAATAAATGATTGGTCCTGTTCTGACCCATCTCCCCAAACGCGACAAACCTTCTGATGTGAACTCAAAAGATTCCTTTATTAGGAATGCTGGCAGCCCTGGCAAAAAGTTTCTCTCTCGACGCAAGACCATCTGGCCGGAAGATGAATAGTTGTCTGCCACTGTTATTCATCTCTGCCCCCTGCCTTTTATCCCCAGAGCTAGGGTGGGGCTTCGCTAGTGGCAGTGGCTCTTCCATCCCAAGGATCAGCCCATAGATTTCCACTGCTCTGTCCTCTCCTCTGCTTTCTGTGCATCCATGCGTCAGGCACTGGACCCAGCTATTCCTCTTCTTCTTCATTAACCTCCAGACCTGAGGGCTGTTGATTCTCCATCTGAGGGCTGATAGATGGCTCAGACTCTGCCTCTGTCTTTCTTTGTGCCAGCTCCATTCCCTCTTCCCCTCAGAGCTCTCAGGTTGCCTTGATGCTAATCCTGACTCTCATGCCTCCTCCTCCTCATGGGTGGGGTTCAAAAATTTCAGCATTGGGTTCTCTGCTGGTTGCTGGGTGGGTGAGGCCATGGTGGGTGTAGCCTAGTTTGCTCCTGCACCATGGCGGGGCTGTTTTTGCATTCCGAGGCTCTGGGAGGGTGAAAACTGCCTCCCTGGGCTTTGGAGGCCCTCCAGAGGCTGGAAATGGACCCGTTTCTGGACTTCTGGAACTTCTGGGAGGACCATTTCCCCCCTTTCCTGAGGCTCTGCACTTACCTCGCATCTAAAACAGCCTGTGTGGAGACTCCTAGGAGGTCGCATCTAAAACAGCCTGTGTGGAGACTCCTAGGAGGGGCGGGGTGGGGTGTGGTGTGGTAGGCGGAGCCAGCTCGGGTGGGATTTTGCAGTTTTCCCAACCAACCATAATGTTAGCTACGGGTCCACCTGAACGCGGACGTACCCGTAGCAGCCCATCAGACTGGAGGAAAAGATATTAAAATGGCCTTCTGGATCATTCACAGATGTGTCCTACATTGTGGACTTAGAATAATATTGATCAAACATTATTATATTACAAGCACAGCAATATACTTGCAGAGCACAGCAGAAGATGCCCTATAGATCTAGCATGGTAATGATTTTGCTCAACGCGGAGCTTTAATGGCTCTTCGTATCGCAAATACACAGGACTGATATTGAAATCAGTAGCTGAATTATTAGAGTTTTTGCTAGTTTAAAGTGAATAAAAAGGGGGAGGGGAAAAACAGAATGACTGGGGTTTAGATAGGTCAGCTGGTCTGAAGTTGTTAAAGGTGGAAAGCAACTTCAGGATTCAGAAACTGAGATAATACCTACTTACAGTGGTTTCTTCAAGAAAAGTGGTTAACGTTATAATAATTAAACTAAATGCAAAGTTAAGAGGCCTTCTGTAATGCAGCTTTTAAAGGGTCCTCCCCCCCATGCAGGTTAATTGACTATTCAATTTGAACATTAATGGTAAAATTCAGCATTCCCAAAGCCTCTTTGCATCAAGTTTAAATCAGCATATAGGAGACTTTAGAGAGCTGCTAATGGAATTTAATAATCCTTCCTAATTTCACTTCCCTTTTTAAAAGATTCTAAGGAACATCTGCAGTTACTCAAACCCATTTTCCTCTTTCCATTCTATGCTTTACAAACCGGACTTCTTAATCAGTTTCTTTCTATGAAACTCATGGAAATTGGTTGCTGGTAGCTTGCCAAAATAAACAGAAAAATGGTGTATTAATTTCATCTAGGTCTTAAAATGCTGGATTTCTTTCCCTTATTAAACAGCCAAGAAGTAATATTTCAAGAACTTGGTAAGAGACAGTGGAATTTAAGGAGTTGCTGTTCAGCAACGTCTGGAAAAACTCAGGTGGCTGAATTAGGGATTTAATGAGTAAAATTATCATTCTTAATAGGGTCCAGAAACAGATGGGAAATCAATGAAGACAGTTTGGAGAACAGATCCCCTGCTGTCTTGGAGTCATCAACTGGATGTTACCTTTTGCATCAGAGTAAGTTTTAAATTTTTTTTCAAATCCCACTACTTATTTATTTTGTTATGTATCTGTCCAAGATTTCTTACCCAGCTTTACGCAAAAGCCTTCAGGCAATCTCTTTAATAACTCTGTTAAAACAAGACTATAACAGAAAAATACTATTGTAAAATAGCAGAATCATAACAGAGGTGGTTCACCGTGACCATTCATGGTTTAATGATATGCTTAAATTGGTCAAAATCCTAGTGACTGCATTTAGGCTTGGCAAGTTTTTCTGAGGCTTAGTATGGTGTGTGAGCCTAAAGTGTTTAGTTAATTCATGATTTTATGTTCATAAAGGCAGAGAAAATGTATTAATTCAGTAACCAAGTTAAGTATATTGCATTAATCCAGCAATTTGTCACAAAGCATGGTTTATGTACGAGGAGGACTAACTCCAAAGCATATTATTGTCAAACGTCAGGGAAATCAAGAGACCCAGGCAATTCAAATGAGTTTAAAGATTTAATGCAAGCTTAAGCTCTCTACAAAAATCTGACTTACTAATGGTCAAGAGAAATGAGTGGGAATAAAGGCATTCAAGGTGGCCAGGACATAGATCTCTTTCAGGTGTGCAAGGACTCAAGACTTATGATCATTTGACCCCTCCCTTGGCTCAGACAGTCATCTCCTACAATTATAGGTTTACATGAAATTATGTACTCAGTGGCATATGTGACAAGTATATGTGTGGGTATATCACAGAAAGAGAAATATATGCAGATATGCAGTATTAGAAACTTGAAATGCAATAGAACCACGGACTGGGCCATGGTATGCCACGTGACCAGGCCACGCAAACAAGCGAAGCCCCATCTGTGGGATGCAGGCAGCATGTGAAACACCCTCCCCATTCTGCGGAAAAACTTCCTCTCTCCACGGAAGTTGTCCCTGATACCCAAAAAGTTGGTGGCTGCCACAATAGAAAATAGTTTTATATTTAACCAGCATGTTGCATGAAGGTCAACACCAAGATATTAGATGTTTATTAGCCATGCAATCTGGAAATTTTTACCCTGAATCGTAGGAGCAAAACTTGGGTTTTCACCTGAGCAAAGTATGGTCTTCTATGTGCCAGATCTATCCCCCCGTCAAAAAAACCCTTTTAAAATGCTGTTATATTATCTTAGTTTCTGCCTGGATTTTTGCATTGAGTGCTCAAGGGCAGCTTCTAACTCCAGCACTGAAAGAAGAGGAAGGCATTCTCTTGTGGAAGTAATTATAATGTGGAAAGCAAAATGGCACAAAGCCAAGGCAGTCTTTCAGATTCTCTAGCAGGGATGGGTGGGTGGGGAAGATAGCTAGAGGTAAAGTAACTTTGATCAGAAAAAAAATGGTTTTGGCTTGTTCTTAATGCAAGATTAGCAAGCTGCAATCCCTTCCCTTAATAACAGTGCCATGCTACTTTCCTGTACGTAAAGACTAAGCTGACAGGTGTATCAAACGTTTTGATTACATCTTTGAAAAACAAGGAGAGGACTTTGGATGATTCGCATCTTATAAAACAAGATTAATTCTCCAAAGTGGCATCATTTATGCGCTATGGACTAAAACTCTCACCATCCTTGAATGTTTTCAGCAAGGCAGAGACAAGTACTGTAGAAGAGAA